GGGAATATATATGAACTATGCTCTAATTTCTAGTTATCGATCTGTTTTTACTATAATTTAATTTGACAAACCGGATCTTCTCTACATTCTTTTTCCTGTTTGGTGCGATTGCAATAGCATGTCTTGATCTGGACTGACCAGAGCAAAAAATAGCTCAGTTCCATATTTTGACGGTGAAGGACAGAGAAGACGTACGTGGTCAGAGACGTGCGGAGAAGTAGTGAAGGATGTGGAACAGCTCTAATTGATTTACATGACAGACAAGTACTCAGCACAACATACGTGAGCGGGCGGAGCGGAGCGCTGACGGAGGATGTGGAATCTGGGGGTAAAGGAGGACAAATAGAGGTTCAGCTCGATGCGGCGTCGGACACTGCAATGAAAATCCGGACTGTCCGCCCATACCTAGGCTGTACAAAATCAACCTTTTACATGGCTCCTGGAGGGCAGCGTCACGGCTTCAGTTAGACACCTCTAAACAAACATCTGCAACCAGCTTGATTACTTTCTCTTTTACCAGTGGCCCCGAACTCGTAACACTGGGGAGATGATGTGTGTGAGGCACTGAAACACACTGGTGGGTAAGACCAGTTTTCTTTGGATTTATAACTGATAAAATGGAACTATAGTAGATGTTAAGTTTTAATAGTGTTAGGTTTATTCTTTATACATCATGTGCATTGTTACTTTATTAGCCAGATTAGAAAGAGTAGATGGCCTTCCTTCACATTGTCGATGTCACTGTGTGTACGGAGGTCATCTAATCAGGACAGCCTTCATGTCTTTAAAAATACACAGGATATGGGAACATCTTGGAGCTGGTCTGATAGAGGAGAGCTATATGTAATCCTTGGGCATGGATGGCGTGTCAGTTTCTGATACGCACAGCTAAACATCCACATGATCCAACACATAGACTCATGAGCTATAAGAAGGAAAAGATGACCTTGTTCGGGGTTCAATCTTTGCCGGACGCTCGCGGACGTGATTTTTGAGCCCACAGCTGTGCAAGCTCCAAGCATTTTCTCTGTCCTGTAACGACCTGACCTGGAATAAACTCTGTAACTTTTTTACTCCTGTTTTTAGTCATTTTTTTATGTGGTTTTACCCAGTTTGAGTTAAGAGTATTAAGTAACTTGCTCCCAGGAAAAGAACCGGTGGGGAAGTCCCGAGGCGCAGCTGCTTTTTTAGGGGACATAACTTCCACATTTTAACAATAGTGTCTGTGTGAGATACTATTGCTGGCAATGTTTGTCTAGGAAGTTAAAGTAAAATTGTTTATAGCTACTGCAGTAATGTTTTCCAGCATATAAAAACAACCACAACTTTTTAGAGAGACAGCCAGATCATCAGAAACATTGTTTATGTCTAAAACATACCTAACATGTTTTGATACTGACTTCTTGATGGCACTTCCGAAAAACATTGGGTTAAACGTCTAACAGTTGAAACAAAAACATATGATATCACATGTTTTGTTTTTGTTTCCACTCTTAGATGACCTTACATATAGGGGAAATAGCACAGAAATGAGACGTCTAATGTCTCAGTTATTGTATTATGAGTCCTAGATCTATTCTAGGTCTTACATCCATTGAATGTCAAAGCTAGTTATTACATGAATTGATGAACAGAAATTAATATGCGAAAATTTTGTTTTCTTTCATTTAAGCTCCAAGACATGGTAAGAAAAGACATGCTGTCTAAACAGTAGCCAAAAAGGGAGCTTGAAGGTAAGCATTCAGAATATTTTAAACAAACTATTTTCCTACTTCAGTCATTTTCCAACCATTAAAGCGTTTCCCATTCTCCAATGACAAATCATAAAATGAACGATAGATGCTTAAAAAGAGGGTTTGTGTCAAATTATACTCTAGTTTCCAGCTTGAACATCATATCTAATGGCTTTTTATGGTCACTATAGTAAGGGTAACCAACCAAAAAAAAAAAATATATATATATATATATATATTGGCACTATAATATTTCCACAAAGCAAGAGATTAGCCCCAGAAATGTACCCCTAGGAAAAAAGAATAACTCCAGAGCTTCACTTAGCTATCAGCCAGATTCTTTCACCCCATAGCTCAAGAAGGGAGCAAGACAATCTGCAAACACTAACTGAAAGAATCAGACTTAGACAACCTTTATTGTCATTTTGCACACACAGTGTATACAAAACAAAATTTTGTTTGGTACAGCTCTCAGACAGTAAATAAGCAGCAGCTTAGCAGTGAAATGAACATTTCCATTTCATAAGCAGTGATGTAAAATGTAAACAGCAACAGTGCACTGAGACAACTGTTCCTCCTGAGCTAAAAATGCTTTTCCTTTCTATTTGATTTTCTGTTTACAGTAAATACCAGCGCTGATACCATCAGACCCATCAACTTCTGCTTTCAGGTATCTGGTCAGTGCCTTTGAACCTGGCTGGCTGCTGGCTAGAGCTGCTGCATGCTGATCTGTGAATGTACTCGTAAGTTTTCACTCTAAATGACTTTAAACATGTAAACCTGATAAGGTCAAATTGAATGTGACAATGTACAGCAAAGCTGGTTATGACATGAATTGATAAATGGAAATTAATATGCAAAAACTTTTTTAAAATGTTGTTTTCTTTAATTCTTAAGCTTCAAGAAATGGAAAGAAAAAAGGTGCTAAACAATAGCCAAGGAGGGAGCTTGAAGGTAAGCAGCCAGAATATTTTAAACAAACTATTTTCCGACTTCAGTCATTTCCAACCATTAAAGTGTTTCCCATTCTCCAATGACAGATAAAAAAAAGAACGATAGATGCTTAAAAAGAGGGTTTGTGTCAAATTATACTCTAGTCGCTAGCTTGAAAAGAAAGTTCTTACTTTGTCGCAAGCATTGTTTAAATTTTATAAACAAATAATTTTGAGCATTTTATATGGAAAAATAATAAGTACACAGGTTTAAAATGGTTTATTTAATGTGTGATTTCAGTGTGGTAACATACTGTTAAAACTCATCATAAAAGATGGGGGCTCTATTTGTGCACAGGTAACATGTATTATTGTAATCAGTGAATGAGAAAATGTCAGCAGTGTTTTATAGAAATAAAAAATTTAATTAAATGGCCAAGTTGGTGTGCACAAACAAGGATTTCAAACTTCACTTTTTCACACCTCACACTATACTAAACAGTTAAAACAACAAACAAACAGTGTAAAAATAACTTTGTATATGCATAGTGACAGTAACACCCTTCCACATAAGGCTTTAAGGATTTTGTTGTCATTGTTTTTTATTTAATTAAATCATTGCATACATTTATTAAGGTGAGGATCAGCGTGATATCTGTTGACGATGCTAAAACTGTTTTGGACCAGCAAAGGTTCAGCAGTGGGTCCACCTACACAAAATAGCAGAACACAACAACATTCAACAAACAGCAAAACTGACTGTTTTAACTTTAATCCAAAAATTCTTAGAGATAAAAATGTAACACAGAAAAGCTCCAAACAGTAAAGATAACCTTAAAAACTAAACAGAAAGAAATACTTAAAGCTCAAAATCAAAATTTGGGAAGTCTAACACACCAAAGTAAATCAAAAGGCTAAAGGCTTGCTGGATAGCTAGCTATCTGTGGAATTAAAGTGTGAAAAAACAAAAATGTTTCTCATTGTATTTTTTTTAAAACAAATTCAGCAGAATGCACTAATGATTAACTTGATCAATTTGCTTTAGAATTCCAAACTTTCTATTTCAAAATAGACTGAAAAATTAAACAGCAGAACACACTAAGAGTAAAGAACAGGGAGAAAGGAAAAGCTATTTTTAGGCTTGGAGGGTTTTTTTGTTTTTCCTTACTCTGTTGTGCAAAATAATATCCTGCAGATAATGAATAGATGATTAACTAGAACTGGAGTTATAGCTAATTATTTAACCTATTCAAGATCGAAGGTAAAATCAATTTAGTGTTCTTAATTGGATTATTGTAGCTTTAAATTATCTACTTACCGGGGTGGCGGATGCACCTCTGGAGGGTTCCTAGACCGGCTGTTAAAATCCAGGTCTCCCAATCTAGTGATCCAGGTTAAGTGGCTAGCAGAGCTATTAATTATCAATAAAGAACCTCTTATCTCTGTTTATTCGCACTATTACCAAAAAGGGGTGGATCTGACCTGAGTGATAAATCCTCCGCTATATGAAAGACCAGAACCACTACAAGTTAACCAATGATGTCTTTATTCTAATAATTCAGCATTACAGAAAATCTAACATCTATGCAAACACTACACGCTACTAAAAAATAAACATGAGGTAGAATAAATTACTAGTTTAAAGAAATCGAAAATAAAGACTAAAACAAAATAGAAAACAAAGGAATAAAACCATAAGAGTCCGTTTACTGGCTTCTGAGATTGTCCAAAATATGCCAGATATTAATACATTCACTAATGTCCGTTAGCAGCAGGTATGATGATAACAGTGCAATTAATCATATAAAATTAATACATCCAGCTTAAAAATTGGTAAATGATTAAAAATGTATTAACAAATAGCAGCAGAAGTTGTTAAGCAAAACATTAATGAACAGTGTACCTGTGTGTGAGAAAGGCATGTAAATAAATGAGGGACCCCCCCTTTTTCACGTGGTGAGAGGAACAAAGAAAAAGGGGGGGGGGGGCAATCTGTAATCAAGATGGCCCCAACCATGTGGCCCCATGTGGTTGATTGTGGTAATTCTATAACTGTCTTAAGGTAGAAACAAAAGAAGATAGGAAAGGAAAAGAAAGAGGGGAAAGAAATCTCAATTGCAGTTTCACAGCACACTTACTTAAACCAAATGAACCAACTCTTATGACCAGTACAGATTAAAAATCAGCATTAATTCAAATCCCTGAATCTACCTGTCTCTCTCGCCGAGCGCAGCACCTCATTAATGCATCGAAAAGGAAAGGAAATTGATTTACTGTGAGTTGCCTTCGGTCCGTGAAGGAGTGGGGTTTCTGAGGGAACAGAGGTTTTTTCGGCATGGGTCCGCCCTCTGGAAAGTTCAATCAGTTCGGTGCTAAAGCAGAGGGCTCGATGTGCTCTAAAGTCGAGGAGGATGAATTTTGCGGAAGTAAACGGCGAGGAGCGTCCTCCTCGGCCGTTCCGTACAAAAAGGGGAAAGACGCACTTACTCCGCGGTCAGCTTCAAAGGCTTCTGTATCCCCAGTTGGCACAGCCGCTATGCACGATGGAACACTGCGATCCGTGACTTTTGACGCAGGAAAAACGAAAGCTACTTCCAGTCAGCTTTCTTCTGGTATTTCACGTGAAATGAAGCCTCTCCTATCAAGCCAAAACCCACCGGAAAAGAGAAAGAAAAAGGAGTCCGCGCTCTGGGTTTTAAACCATGAGTGACATGTGGGCACTTCCTGTTGGAGTATTGGCTGATTGGTCTGTTTGAGGTGACCGCCTCCCACAGTGGGCCTGTACTGTGGTCTTCCGGAAATCCTTTGTTCTTCTTTGTGGCGGGAATCCATTGTTCTTCTTTGTGGAGAAGAGAAGGGGGATGGTTTCAGATGGTTTCTCCAACTGACTTTAGCTCCACTTTGGCAATATATCCCAACAACTCCCAGCAGTTTTTCTCTTTGGAAACCAAAACCAAATGAACAAGAAATATTAGTTTAATGTAGCATCATAATATTTCCACAAAGCAAAGCATTAGTCCCACAAATTTATTGCAATTACATGTTTTGCTACATGTATGCTTGTTTTTCCTGTTCATGAATTTCACACAAACAAAAAAATCTGAGGTTCAGACATAATTCTAAGCAAAACTCCAAGTTTTTAGGACATTGTACTTAGAGTCTGGTTCAACACCACTAGGAAAAAAGAAAAACTCCAGAGCTTCACTTAGCTATCAGCCAGATTCTTTCACCCCATAGCTCAAGAAGGGAGCAAGACAATCTGCAAACACTAACTGAGAGAATCAGACTTAGACAACCTTTATTGTCATTTTGCACACACAGTGTATACAAAACAAAACTTTGTTTAGTACAGCTCTCAGACAGTAAATAAGCAGCAGCTTAGCAGTGAAATGAACATTTCCATTTAATAAGCAGTGATCAAATGTGAACAGCAACAGTGCACTGAGACCAATGTCTTCTGCTTTCAGGTATCTGGTCAGTGCCTTTGAACCTGGCTAGCTGCTGGCTAGAGCTGCTGCATTCTGATCCGTGTATGTACTGGTAAGTGTCACTCTAAATGAATTAAAACATGTAAACCTGATAAGGTCAAATTGAATGCAAAGCTAGTTATGACATGAATTGATGAATGGAAATTAATATGCAAAAACTGTTTTCAAATTTACTTACAACAATGGAAAATAGTCAAAGTCAAAACAAATTACAGACACTTTGGTTAAACAGTAACATGTTATAAATAAACCTTGAGAAAGAATCTGGTTTGTTATGGGAAGAAGCAATGTCTGGTCTACAAACACCATCCCGCAGAGAATGGTGTGGCCTTCAAGGTGAAACAGACTTAGTGAAAACTTTATAGTGGATAAATAGGATAAATTAATATATAATAGAAGAGAAATCAAAGTTTTCCGACAACACAATAAAGACTGTGTGGTCAGGATCTTGCTCAAGTAAGAGTAGTGATACCATGAAATAATTTCCTAAAGTAAAAAGCACAATGCTGTAAAACTACTCCTTAAAGTATATCAAAAAGCTACCTAACTTAAGGTGACGGAGTAAATGTAACCTGTTACTACCATCTCTGATTATAATTTAACCTTTTATATATCAGGGCACTTAAGCATACATGTGTACTGTTCCACTGAATATCTGTAGAAGACCTAAAGCCCCCTATATCCATTTCAAATTGAAGGATTAACGACTTGTTTTAAATGGGGTCTTTAAAAAATGGAAAAAAGACAAAAAACAAAAATGTTAAATTTATCACACCTGTGGTTGCACGCTCCAAAGTATATGAATGATGCACATGCACATACTCAACGTTTTTGGATGGCAGGGCACGTCCAGCAACACCGAATGAGAAACCAAGGCGGTTCAAGTTCACTTTTATCCATAGAACATATGTTCACATACGTAAACAAAAATGGAGCCTAGGCGGAAGTTCAACTGAAGAAACTGATCACTCTCCTACATCCACCTGCGACACAGCCAATCAGCTTTGAACCACACCTCCACAAAAGCCAATCGGCATCCAAAGTTCATTTTAAAAGGCCTCCGATATGCACCTGTCTGCTCCTGTGTGCAGGCGGCTGATGTGCTGTGACTTCATTCATAAAATTACCAGGTCTGCATACTTCCACCTTCCCAACATTAACCGTCTCCATTCCTCCCTCACCACTCACACTGCCTCTGTCCTTATCCACACCCTCATCACCTCCTGTCTTGATTATTGTAATTCTCTTCTTTTCGGCCTCCCTCATAAATCTCTCCATAAACTCCAACTTCTTCAGAACTCAGCTGCTCGTGTCATCACAATAACCCCCTCCTTTCATCTTATTTCCCTTGTCCATCACCAACTCCATTGGCTCCCAGTTCCCAGAATACAATTTAAAATCCTTCTCAGGGGTCGACGTTAAGGATTTTTACCACTTGCCCTTTGGGCAAGTGACTTTCACATTTAATTTGTCCAGAAACAATTTTTACTTGCCCAGTATAATGTTTGATAAATATAGTTCCTAATATTCCTTTGTATATATATCAATGAAACATGTTTGTTTTTTTAAATGTTTTTTGTAATTCAGTATTTTTTAAGTTTACAGGTTCCTGGTGTTTATATGCATGCGTCAGATAATGAACTCAAGCCTACATTACCGTGTTAACATGCTTTTCAAATCCTTCCTGCACATTCTTTTCAAACTAAACTTTGCTTTAAACTGTTGTGTGCTTGGAAAAATATAAA